GTTGCAGCTGAGTCCAAAGGTCTGCCTCAATCTTCAATTGCCTGTTAGGTACGAACCTATGACGAGATCTACCAGAAATTGCACGACACTTTGCTAGAGGAAAGAGGCAGACTGCAATAAATTCTGGAAACTCAGAACTCCTTCCTTAAGTCATTTTTTGTGATGAGTGCTCTTGGAGCACACTTCTATGTAACTAGAGTTTTGCTATGACCCTCTGACTTTCCACAGGGGATCTAGGGCAGGCTATCTCAGTCCCTTTTTCACTCCTTTGCTGCACGGAGAGGTAACATGAGGACTACATCATCTTTATCCCATCTCTTCCACCAGTAACACCCCTGGTGGTTCTGTTTCCCATTTTAAAAAGTTGTGCTGCAAAACATTGCAGAGCTGGTGCTGCATTTGGAAGAGGCCTCTCAGAGATTCTGCGATGGTCCCGAGATGCCACAGCCTGGCGGGGCAGAGCAGAACGAATAAGCAAGGGGAACAGTCCCTCAAAGGAGAAAGGGAGGGTTTGTGGAACTGGCATTTTTTGAGATCAGTTGTCCATGTGAACACTGTATGATGTGCCTTCTCTCTCCATCTTCTCATAGCCCAGCCAGACAGGAGGCATGTGTAGTTCAGGGAGAACTGTGGCACGTAGGGCTGTTGTGTCCTTCATACCCAGAGTGTAGGTTGGAGCAGTAGAAATGTGTGTGCATGCTCATAGCTCAACTCCCTCAGGTTTATGCATATTCCCTCTGCTTTGGTTAGGCAAACAAGTAATGCATCTCAAAGGGCTGTAAGGGAAATAACTTTCAGCCTTGGAATTTCAGTTCTCCTTTCAGGGCTGTAATAGCCTCTCTGTGAAAGGGTAAATGAGATCTTTCAAAACATCACTCAATGTTTATTTTTGTCATTTACATATTACAGTACATAGCGTCTACCATCCAAGATGTTTATTATGAATTTATCACGTGCTAAACCTTAGTGTGTGTCACTGATGATCACAGCTTATTAGAAGCAATGATCGGCTTGTTTAACACTGTCTGAGATACCAGGAATGATCACTGAAGCAGGAAATTCAGTTACTCGTAGTGAAAAGCTAGGCAGAAGATAATCGGGTGCTAAGATGTGTTTCTTGTGTGTCATTGTCATATGTGGTCCAATTACATGTCCCCCCATGCCATTACTCCGTCCTTTGATATCCTGGCCGCCTCCAAGTGCGTGAGCTGCTGTTTGTGGGACAGTTTGTTTCAAAGCCAAAAATTAGCTTTCAGTTTGTCCTGGGTTAGAATTTAATACTGTGTTACGCATCAACTTTGGGATTTTTGCTTGCTTTACTTCAACTGCTTTTGCAGCTGGAGGTAGCTTTAAAAATACTTTGCTTGTTATATCCTTGTTGGGTTATTTGTTGAAGTCTTATTGAAACAGTTGCCATAAGTTATTAGTGAATACTAGGAACGGTTAAGTAACATTTGCTGACCTGCAGAATTTTTAGAAAGTAAATGGGACGTACTGATGATCTCTTTAAGCTTGTACTCTTGTACACCTGTAATTTTTGATGATCATTAATTTCTTGATCTATCTCAGCTCTTTAAAAAACCACACCCGCCAAAGCGTGTTAGAAGCCGACTGAATGGAGAGGCTGTGGGAACCTCTGTGCCCCCTGGTTCTACAAGTGACAAGATTTTTTTCCATCATTTGGACAACCTGCGGCCATCTCTTGCTCCAGTGAAAGGTAAGCTGTAAAACCACGGTAATTATTCCTGTTTCTTTGCCACAGCATTCAAAGTTTCAGCAAGATCATCCTTTTCCATGTTTTGCTTTGTTCTAATGTTCTTAATGCTTGTACTTTTATAAGACAGACAAATTTCCTAAAGCTGTAAGATTATGTTGTTATCTATCTTAAAATGTACTTGGGAAGCACCAAATCTGTGCCGGTTTAATATAGCTTTTTTAAAACAGAGGGATAAAACTGGGCCCAAGCACCTCTTCAAAGTTTCAATTTAGCAAACAATATTCAGGGTACATTGCTTCTGGGCCTGCGATAGCCTCAATTTTTGTGATTTTTGTAGCAGAAGGATTCTTTATCGCAGTGCCAAGAAATACTGAGAAATGTTGGCAGGAAAGGGTGGTGTTGGTACCTGCACTGAGATGAAAAAAGGTGGGTTTTGACTTCATATCAAACATTGGACTGAACAAAGGTTAATTGTCTGCGAGGCAGGTAAATGCTATACAGTGATTTCTTTCCTAGTCAATTAAATGAATCTGTGCATGCCTGCTGTAAAGAGAGGAGGACATACCATTACACAGGGCATAGCAGGGCTACGCTCTAAGACAGAAAATTAGAAGGTGCTTCTTTATATTTGCAAAGCTTGGAGAAAAACAAGTAGAACACCACAGGATGTCATCAGGAATGTAACCTGTGGGAGCACTTGGCCAAGATGTTGGAATCAATACCAAAAACTTACTTGTGCCGAAAATGGTACGATCACTTTCACTGACCACAGTCTGAAGAACACCTTGTGCAGCATCGCAGGTGGGATCAGAGCTGTCTGTCATCCGCGGGGTGTTCTCGCCACTCCTGATGGTGCTTAGCCCTGCAATTGTTAGGAATGTAGCAAAAGTTGCCATCGTTGCAGTTGAAACAGATTTGTGTAACACAGCCAAGACTGAGATCCTGCTTTTGCAGAACATCAGGTATTTAATGGGATCAGATGGTATTTGTCTGTGCTAGCAATAAAACATAACGCCATCTTCTCTTTTAGAGCTCAAGGAGCCTGTGGGACAGATCGTGTGTACCGATAAAGGCATTCTGGCAGTAGAACAGAATAAGGTTCTTATCCCACCTACATGGAATAAAACTTTTGCCTGGGGCTATGCAGACCTCAGCTGTAGACTGGGTACCTACGAGTCGGACAAGGTTTGTAATCTGAAATTTGTTTCAGTGCTGAATGTACCAAAAGCAATTAGTCCTCAATAGCAAAAAAAATCTAACAATGGAAATTTATTTCACACATGAATGAAATAATCTTGTGCTGCATAAGTTTTATTGCTCCCTATCTGATGGTCTTCATCAGAACGCTGGCAGAATGTCATAAACCAATTAATAATAATTTATTACCAGGTGTGCAAAACATGAATGAATTAAATCTATGCAGTTAAAGCTCATCTCTCGTGTTCTCTTGGGGAGGCATCTTATGGCAGAGGCTGGAATTGCTTATCTTTCAGGAAAAACTGCATAAGGGGTAGCAGCGATATGTTAGTTACTTAATGGTCCAGCATACAGGGTGGCACTTGGGTTTTTATTTTTATCCTCCCAAACACTAACCCTGCAAGTAATTATTCTTTGCTTTCTTTATTTTTAGGCAGTAATTGTTTACGAATGTTTGTCAGAATGGGGTCAGATACTGTGTGCCATTTGCCCCAACCCCAAACTAGTTATCACCGGAGGAACAAGCACAGCGGTGTGTGTGTGGGAAATGGGCATCTCCAAAGAAAAAGCTAAAGCCCTCACACTGAAACAGGTAAAATACAATAAAGATGCCTTTTATGTAAATTATGTTACAGAACCAAAGGAATTATGAAAGGGGTACTGCTGACATAGTAAGCTTTGAAACCAAGTCCAGCAGACGTTTGGAGAACTGAGTAGTCCACGTACTGATCTGCCATGAAAGTGGGCAAAATGCATCTTTAAAATTGCATCTTGTTAAGGATAGTGGATCACCAGGAGCTTTTTGGAGAGATGGGGAATTCGGTAGTGATGTCAACAAAATTATACAGGTGTGTTTTGTGAAATCATCTGCTTTATTGTAGTGTTGTATGTAAAATACCCCCATCTGAAAACTGTCAGGGAGGGCAGTGAAGGAGACTGTCTTAAAAGTTAATTTTCCTTTTTAAATTTTTTAATTACTTTTTTCTTTAAAAATGTATATATTTAAATTAGAGTTCTGTGCAAAACTTTGCTCTTTCTGGCAGTGATGTTTGTGGAGCAGAGTATACTTGTTCAGGATCACCTTAAGTTGTTCTTGCTTTGTTAATTCAAAACATCAACTTTTAATCTAACAAATGAGCAGCTGTACTTTGAAGTCAGCTGCAGCTAAGTGCGGAGTAAATCTTGTGTGTTCACTAAAAAAAAAAACCCAAACCCACAAAAGCCACCCACAAACAAAACACAAACCCCCAACTACCTTACAATATTTCTAGAAGCTCTGTATCATTGTTGTAGGTAGTTAGGTTGTTAAGCGTTAACTGTTCCTGTTAGCATTTTAATAGCAGGACTTTTTCTAGCGGAAAGCTTCCACTCAAGAGAAGAAATACAGAGAGTTATTTAATAACTTCCATCGCACAGACTCCAACGACTGTCCAAAGCTGTGTTTCCCAAGCGTTTTACTTAAGAACAGTGCAAGATAAAACACTGTATCTTTAATTTCAGGGCAGCATATTGAAGGCCATTTACTGTACTTTAGCCAATGATTTGTAACTGAGGAAGATGCAATAATCTGACTCTACTATTCGACTCCTGTTCCAATGATTAGATCAAGCCTAAAATGTAAAAGCAGGGTCTAATACAAGTAGATGCTTCTAATTTTCTCCTCCTTCCAACTGACTTGGCCTTTTTGGCTGCAACTCTTTCTTGTCTCTTTTATCTTTTCTCAAACATCAGCAGAAGTTTATATAGGAGCCATTTTATATTTACAAAGAATTTTTGTTTTCAGAAGGTAATTTCGGGTGCAGCTTGAAACACATACTAACCCTATAAATAGGCTACTGATGGAGATGGAGGATGCAGAATGGGTTGGAAATTTATTTTCGGGATTTTTTTTTTCAATAGAAGGCCATATAACATTAGACCCTTGAAATTTGGGGTTGTGGGAGTACTTTTTAAATGGAAAAAAAAATATGACTGCTATCATTTGCAATTATGAAAATAGTTGCCAATGGAATACTTGTAAGTCAGTTGCATCTTCTGATAGGATATTCATGTTTACATTATCTGAATCTTTTCAGAGAAGTCGGTTTAATGTAGCAATTTTTGTGCGCTCTCCTGATTGCGGCTTGTTCCTCCTGACTTTTGTTTTGCAGGCATTACTGGGTCATACTGACACTGTCACGTGCCTAACAGCATCGCTAGCTTATCACATAATTGTGAGTGGATCACGGGATCGCACCTGCATCATCTGGGATTTGAATAAACTCTCTTTTCTAACACAGCTTCGAGGTCACAGGGCTCCAGTTTCAGCACTCTGTATAAATGAATTAACGGTAAGAACCAAATACCATTCACCAATGTGTAGCGGGAACAGCAGCAAGTCAGAAATTGTTAAACCAAAGAAAAACAAACTAGACTCTTCTGTTAGTTTGGCAAAACTTGTATGACTCATCTGACAACTAATTAGCTGGTTCAGGGGGTAATTTGCATCTTTTGTCCAGAGACATACATGGGTTTAGAGCTTGGAAGGGCTTATGAACAGTGCTGGCAGCAGTATAGCTTGTGTGGCGTTCAAAGTGGGTTGTCAAACCTGCCAGAGGAGCTAAGAAGAGATTTTGATATATGACCTTGGTTGACTTCTGTTCTCTTATGCTTAATTTAAAGGAAGCAGAATATACCTTCGATGAAACCGCAGTGACAATTGTAGCAGAAACAGACATATCCTAAAAGCTTGTTTCCCTGATGGTCCTATAATTTACGGGTTGCCATTTATCCAGTTCCCATGCACGTCAAAGAATTTGCCTGAGTTGCAACTTTACGTAGCTGGTCCATCAGGGCTGGATGGACCATGTTGCAACTGGAGAAGATGTAGTGGTTGAAATCAAAACAAAATGGGGCTGTAATGCAAGGAGGGAGTAGCAAGAGGCACAGTTTATTAGCTGCTAGTAGTCTGGCAGTTGTAGTGTTGCCAGTGTTTTAGACTGCAGCTCCTGCTTCCCCCTCTGCACTAGTTTGGACCATCTCTTGCTCTTTTCCCCATTAGGAAGCAAATGAAATTTAAGGTGGCGCATGTTTGTGAAAAAGAGCAGGATCAACATGAGCAGAGTCTTTGAAAACTGAGACGGCAAAGTACTGAAAATAAGCTGTTGAATTGTTATGCTGTGAAAAGTAGAGGAATTAGTCTACTGACTGTGTGCTATAAATACAACAAATAGGTTGCTGCTGAGTCTAGGTTTCTATGTACAATTTAAAAAAAAAAAATGCATATTGTCCTAAAGGTTTGATTAGGTGGCCAAACTCAGCTTGAATAGAACTTCCTGAAAAGTGCCAGCCGTGATGGCTGCACTTGGCTTATAAACGAACCTGGCTTATATTTTTGCTGCAGAAAACTTGAGACTTGTATTGAAATGTGGAGGTGTTATTTCTCTTTGCAGGGGGATATTGTATCATGTGCTGGCACTTACATCCATGTATGGAGCATTAACGGCAGCCCCACCGCAAGCGTAAACACTTTCACTGGCCGAAGCCAGCAAATAATGTGTTGCTTTGTGTCAGAGATGAATGAGTGGGATACCCAGAACGTCATAGTAACGGGGCATTCGGATGGAGTTGTCCGGGTAAGTACCAGGAATCACTGCTTGGAAAAATAAGTTTACACCTTAGTGTTAGTAATAGTAGTAGTTAGACAAGTCATGTCTATCCAACACAGTGTCCTGACTGGTACCAAAAGCAGTCCTGCTCTCCTTGGGTGCTTCACCTGAACGATTAGTCCTCCAGGAAGGAGGGAGTTCAGGCTGGGTAGACGATGCAGACTGCTTTTGGTGCTGGAGCCAGCTGTGCCATTTCTGCAGAGGCTGGTGCACTGCATCCTGTCCACAAGTTAGATGGACATTGAAGATTCATGGAAAACTCTTTCCATGAGCTGACATTCCTATGCGGTGTTCCAGTTTTCTTTCTCCTCTTCGATGCACCCGTTGTGATGTGGTAACTAGCAATAGTCAGCAGCATACATTTTCCTTCCTGCTCTATTTTGGTCACTTTTTGGTCACCAGGTTTCATGCCTGGAGACTGTAGTTTTCGTTCACCATTTTTGTTTTACACACCTTGAGACAATTCATCTTGCTGCCTAGAAGGAAAAGAGGAACTTGGTGGCATCTCTGATAACTGCGAGTCTAACCCGATTTTCAGTACTTTGCTGTGTGCAGTCCTGGGTCTGCCTTAACCAGAGTCTGTTGGTCAGATTGCTATGTGGAGTGGATTATTTTTTTTTTATTATTATTTGAACAGCTACGATGTTAAATAACAGCACAAGACTTGTTCACTTGTGATTCAGGCATGGCCGCAGATGTCCTCTTGTAGTATCCAGACCCTGAAAACAGAGCTTAGTATGGAGATGTGACCTGCCTCTCGTCCTACCAGTGCAAACACCCAGTTCTAATAAGCCATCTTAACGCTAGAAGTAGCTCAGAAGAAAGCTAAGAGTTCAGTATGTGCCACTTTGCTTGTCCTCTGTCCCTCCAGTTCTGGCGGATGGAGTTTTTGCAAGTACCAGAAACACCAGCTCCGGAGCCTGTGGAGATGCTGGAAATGCAAGAGGATTGTCAGGAAGCACAAATAGGTATGTCTCCTGACAAGTGTCTTGTAGTTGCCTTTTATCTGATCTTTGCTATATGTATGTAAAATCCTGTGGTTATACAGTGCAGAATGGATGATGGGGATTTGTCTCAAAAGATACTGGACATCCAGTGGGCATAACAAATAGAGCATCCGAGTTCTTTGTTCACCACCTTGCTTATGGTAGTTTCCTACTGCTATGAGTGAGGAAAAAAATTATGCCCATCATAGCTTTTTTCTGTGAAGATTGAACTTTTCTCTGTGTGGTTGTTTCTGCTATCAGTGAACTCAATGGATGCTACCATTGTCCAAAAGCTAGATTTTTTTAATTTTATTTTCAAATACCATAACACCAGAGTTAAAAAATCTACTGATGGAACAGCATGCTGTTTAGACAAGTAGTGCTGGCCATGTTATTTTCCCTTGTTGGAAGATTTTGGTCCATGCTTGATGAGTGTTTATTTTAACCATCTCATCTTCCTCTTGCCCTTTTCATACTGAAGATATGATCTGGATTTGGATCTGGATCACATGATACTCATTAATAATTATTATATAAATACAGCTCTTTTTTCAGTGTCGCTAGGAGTATACCTTTGGCAGTTGCTTCTTTTGTATTAGCAAAACCTGTTATTAGCAAATCTGCATCACGTTTGTCAGTCAACTGGAGTTTCAGCATAGCTGACTGTGCTTACTTGCTTAAGTTTTGCTGAAAGGCAGCAGGATTTGGTTTTGCTAATTTGAGCATTTTTGAAAATTTTACTCTTTGTGTCTATCGTAGCCTACCTCAGACAGACTGTCGTAGAAAATAGCTTCAGCTAAGGAGTGCTGTTTTCTGACAGACCAGAGCAAAAAAGATGAATAGTGTGGATTCCTGGCAGGAACTGAATCTCTGCAAAGGCTTTGAGATGCCTGTGAGCAGTTTCCCTCTGGTCATGCTGTGATGGTACCTGTTGGGTTGTAGGCAGTGCAGGAGCAGAGTAGGGAAAAAGCAGCCTGCTAACAACGCCTTCTCTCCTCTTGGGTGAATCCAGGACAAGAAGCCCACGAAGAGGACAGCAGTGACTCCGAGGCAGACGATCCATGCATAGGCCAGGACACAAAACTGCAGGAGAGCCAGTCTCAACCAAGCAGCACCAGCCACAGGCCTAGGTCATCGTCAAACAGAGCAGCGGCAGCATGGTCAGCAGACAGCGGCTCTGATGACTCTAGGCGTTGGTCAGACCAGCTCAGCTTGGATGAGAAAGATGGCTTTATCTTTGTGAATTATTCTGAGGGACAAGCAAAAATGCATCCCCATGCTCAGGTTAACCACCCGCACCCCAGCTATGCTGAAGCACGGCACTACAGCAAGCTTAAACCAGGTAAAAGAAATTGGGCACGCTTCCTCTGGCAGATAAACGTGCTGTCAGCACTGACCCTTAAGGCAGTCTCTCTCTGTCTGTGCAACTTTGAGCAGGGTTGGCTGACAAATTCCAAAATGGTCAGTGAAGAGAAAAATTTGTGTGCAAAGGTTGCATGTTGTTCAAGCTTTTCCTGAGAAGCTGTGGTCAGTTTACCCTGGCCGGCAGCTAAGCGGCTCACTTGCCACCACCACCACAACCCCCTGCAGCAGGGTGGTGGAGAGAACCGAAAACAAAAACAAAGGAACTGGGGTTGAGATAAGGATAGTCTAATAAGCGAAGGAAAGAGGAAGACAAAACAAGTGATGGAAAGACAATCACTTGCCACCTACCACAAGCAAAATGATGACCAACTATACTCTTGAGCAAGTGGCTGCCTTCCCCAAAAATCTCTCCTCTCAGTTTTATTGCTAAGCATGATGTTACATGGTGTGGAATATCCCTTTGGTCAGTTTGAGTCAGTTGTCCGCTTGTGTCCCCTCCCAAATTATTGCATACCTCCAAATTGCTGATGCGGAGTGAGGGGCAGAGCAGAGTGGGGAATAAGAGAAAACCTTGACACTCTGCAAGTACTGCTGAACAACAGCCAAAACACGGGTATGTCATCAAAACTGTTTTAGTCACATACCCAAAACACAGCATCATATGAGCTTTTATGAAGAAAATTAATGACAGCTGGAAATCTGAGTATTGACTTTAAAAAGAAAAGAAAATCATTAAAATAAAATAAAAATTAAAACACCAAAGCTATCCCAGTCCTGTCAGGCTTTGGTACCAGACTTCCCTGTGTATGTCACCATCCTCTGTAGCTCCCAGCTGGACTTAGAGAAATTGGAGACTCTGCATTGTTTTGTACCGTCTCCTTTCTTACACATGTTGGGGAGCAGTTGAAAAATGTGTTTTCCCCGAGTGAAACTTGAGTCAGAGAGAGTTGTCTCTGGGGTAAGATTTTTTTTTCTTTCTACAAAGTCACACATACAGGTTTGTTGGAGGAAGGAGGGAACAAAAATGAGAACAAGCAAATTTGCTTTTCCCTCTCCTACTTCCTGCTTGTTTCTAGGATACAGATGGGAGCGTCAGTTGGTGTTCAGAAGCAAACTAACTATGCACACGGCATTTGATCGCAAAGACAACGCACATCCAGCAGAAATCACTGCACTTGGCATCTCTAAGTGAGTAGCTCGCAAGCGATTGCTTAAAACATTTTTTCAGTGTTGTCAGCGGGAAGCGGTATGAACCAGTTCTTTGCATAATGCTGTTTTGTGGCACTTCTGTTTAGGGCAGCCTTGTTCAAGGGCTGAGATTAAAAAAAAAAAACAAAACCTAAAATAAGTAGACTTATTCAGCTGCATTATGTTACATAGAGTATTGTTACAGCTCCATTTCTCAGTCAGACCAGGCTAATTTGCGCATTAGTTACTATGCCAGTAGTTTAACATATTACATATTCTGACGTGTGAAATCGGTCGTCGATGTCTGCATGTTACTGTGCCAGAGTTGTTG